CTCTCTCTCTCTCTCTCTCTCTCTCTCTCTCTCTGTTTACAATTAGTATTTTCAGCTTGTGTAGAGAATGTTATTTCAGTGGGATTATGCAAAAACTTTTTGAACCAAAATTTTTGGATTGTGCAACAAATATTTCTCAGTTTTTCATAAGGAATATGATGCTTGAAGCTTGAAGCTTGTCCAGGCTACAATGATTTTGAAGTTTTTCTTTTGCTTATTGAATTTTATCACTGAGTTAGGTTTTTATTCTGACCAAAAGCAATTGAAGAAACACAGCTATTTGGTTCAACGGTCTCTTGGTTTTGTAGGAATTGTTTGATTTGATGATATATAAAGGAACATTTGGTCCACTTGAAAGCGTTCTGCATCTTCCAGATGGTCTCAATTTGTTTTATTTTGTTTTGGGATGGGATGTGATTTTCGAATGAACTACATAAATTGAGAGAAAGAAAAGAAACTATGTCTTAAGTTGGAGGATATCTCCAAAAGTGATTGGAGAGTTTGTAATTTTCATTAGAGTGCCAATATGTTAGCATAAGTTTGATAATGTAAAGTGGGCATCTGTTGGTTCTTTGTTTTCTCTAATATCAGTTATTAAATCCTGGATTTTTTTTTGTTGCAGACTACTGTCCTCAAGGTTGGTATGTCATGCCAAGGCTGTGTTGGTGCTGTGAAAAGGGTTCTTGGAAAACTTGAAGGTTTGTTGACAGCTCTTTCATTTATGCAGTTCCATTGTCTTGCTCTTCTTCTCTGAGACTGTGCTTCTTTAAATGTTTGTAATATATCATAAGAATAGTATTTGAACAATGCCAAATGCACTACTGATGATTTCCTGATTTGTATTTGTATTTGCCTGCCTAGACACACATTGACTTAACCCATTTTTATAATTACTTCTATATTGCAATTGAGTACGAAATCGTGTGCATGAATGTTAATTTTAATTTTGCAATGCTACTATCTTGTGAAGTTTGCTATATCTTTGTGTTGTATGTTGAAGCTGAACCTCTGTACACACTGGTTATCACTTTGGTGTCCCAAAAAGCACATAGAAAGAAAGAAGTAGGTCATTGTTCTTACATTTGACAGCTGGGTGTATGCATCACCTTCGGTTGAGAGACCATGAAAATGTTCCTGTTCAATAGGTGGTTTAGTGCTTTGAATCGTGTACCAATTCCCTTATTAATACTCATTTAAAAAGTTGAGGTAGAGATATTGCTCTCCACCTGGATTTAGGTTTTAGATAAGCAGTAGGGCCCTTGGAACCAAGAAAAGTAAGAAATTGCAGAGGAATATAGGTACCACCTATATTATGTACTCCAAAAATCGATGATTTAGTTAGTGCTTATTTGGAATCTTGCTATTAATCAGTTTTCTAGCTGTTAACAAAATGTAGAGTCCATACTTTGTTGATTTCATATTATCTTGATAATGATGGGACATGTTCTTTCTTATTATCTTCAGGTGTAGAATCATATGACATTGATTTCGATGCACAGAAAGTGACGGTGAAAAGCAATTTACCACCCGAGACAGTCCTGCAAACCATTTCCAAAACTGGCAAGAAGACTGCCTATTGGGAAGCAGAAGCACCAGCAGAGCCTGAAGCAAAGCCTGCAGAAGCATCAGCAGAGCCCGAAGCAAAGCCTGCAGAAGCTGTGGCTGCCGCTTAGTCTTTCCCTGTTTAATGTGGTATGAGTCATTGAATATGTCCAAGAGTAATGAACTTGGTATGGTGTCCTGTAAACTATCAAGTGCTCTTTCAGCTTTTGCTTGTTTGTAAGCGACAATGTTTCTCTCTGAACTAGTTGTGTGACTTTCTGTATAAATAAATTGAGGAGAGACATTGTGTTGTGTCGTGCATTCTTTAAGATCCTATTTTAGGCTTTGTTTTTCATTGAAATACTAATGCTTGCGACTTTTTTTGTTAAGAAAAACCTTAAATACATGGAGGAAAAGGCATCAGGGGCAAGGTGTTATGCTTATTAGAACAAGTACTATCAACAATACAAGCGATTTGCAAGACATGGTCAACATTTGAATACAAGAATTGCTCCAAAAAAAAAAAATGTTCTGTTGTTGAAACTCTCTTCTTTGCTCTGTTTTAGGCTGCTCCCGGCTTGTTTGTCAAGTCCCATGACAAAGGGCTCAACCAAATATTCATAGGAAGTGAAGTTGATTTTTTCTCAAAATGTGGGCTTCTAGGAATCTTATTTAACCAACAGGGTTTAGCTCAGTTGAAATAGGTTTTGACTTGCAAACCAATGATCTCAAGTTCAAACTGCCATGTGGCCTTAGTAATGTGTGTGAGAGAAAATTCTATAATGTGACCGCCATATACGGGCATGCTAAAATATGAATATCAGCCAGCATGATATGTTGTATAGATAAAGACTCAGGACGGACCTATGCACATGCTAACCTAGGCTATAACCCAAGTGATTTTATCTTTTATAACCCAACGTTAATACCTAGCCCACCCAAATGCACCCCACACACCCCAACTTAGGATTGGCTTCACTCTCCTCATCATAACTGCTATATCTACTCGCTCATCAGTGCCCATGCACTCATCCAACGGTTGGTTTTTAAAAAGTAATACTCACACTTATTGGAGCTACTCAAGCATGATTCGATACTGTCAGTGCAATTAATACCAATGGAAGAGCCCAATCAAAAAAGCATGAGTATTCAAGACGAAGGAAAAGAGGCTATTGAGCCGGTGATAGGCATGAATAAAGGAGATTACTGACCCTAATAGTATCATAACATCCATTATAGAATCTGATAGTATTCTTGAGAATTTTTTTATAAGCATAAAGATAGCCTAGTGTCAGCCACATTTGTTAAGGAAAATACCAATAGTCGATATTTTCTCCAAGCCTTGACAAGAGAAAAATTCAAATTCCTTCGAGATGGTCCTAAAAGCCATATTATGAAACTAGATTATGAGAAGAGTACCTCTCTCCAACTAGCCATCCAACTCTTTCTTTTCCATCTTACAGTACTTACGAATATGACTGAGTATAAAGAAGTTTATTTAGAGCATGACAAAAAGAAAATTCCAATTACTTCAATATTTAAAATTGTGGACAAATATTTTAGTAGAAGTTAAAAGTATTCCTCCTGAATGGTTCGAAGACAATATATATCTGGAAAGAGCAAAACATAATATTATTCTCTCTCCCAGCCAGCAGTTTATTCCAGAACTAAAACCAGTAAATATCACTCCGGCGAAGCAAGACATAGAAAGACATAGAGGAGCTCAAATGGCATTTCACCAAGTAGCCATTGACGAACACCTCCATCTTCTTTATCAAAACAGAGTCATGAAGATTTACTCTAAATTTCCAATGAAGAAGCCACAAGACTCAACTAATTTCAGGATCAGCAGAGCAAGAAAATAAATCTATGAAGTACTCTACAACTAGCTAACTGATTACATGGATGACCGAGCTGACAACCAAGACTATTGGGATAATTTAACAGAGGAAGAATTGCACAATATTGAGAACATGATGGAAGCCTAAAGAATATCTTAACAGCTCGAGTTCATGACCATCACTCATGCAAAAGAAGACAAAATCCAATAGGCAAGAATATGAACGGCAATGACTTCCAAAAGCAAGAATGAATTGACACCATACAAAAAATTCAAAAAGGCACTCCATTTACAAATAACAAAAGCTTTGGCTCCACCGAAGAAGCCCCATAATATTTTTCAAAGACTAAAACAAGTATATAATGGTCAGTACAAAGAAGTTGGCAAGATCAAAATGATCCAACGGCTAAAACTAGGTCCACATATAAGTCACCCTTATTATAGAACAGCTCTGTGTGTGAGAAACCCCCCCTCTCCCTTGTAGTTTAGATTATCGCTTATATTAAAAAATCTCATTGAAAGCCTTTGTGGAAATAAATGAACATCATGGTGTGACATGAAATGCGCTGATAGTGTTGAAGCCTTTCAGTTTGAAAACCACATGCTATTTGAAGGGTTTGAACAAAGCTATTCACTCATTCCACCACGTTTAGTCATCTGCAGTGATGGTCCCGGCCTTAACACATGCAGAATTTGCTTTTTTCAGCACCCATTTAAATTACTATTGACGTCAGCTAAAAAATTAACGTTTTCTACTATAATGTAATGCTCCGTTTTGGATGAAGAGATTTGAAGGAAAGGATTTGGATTTGACAGCATAGCTAAATTTGGAACAAAATCAATAATCACTAGATTCAAACCCCATGACACATTGATAGGATAGTGTGTATGAGAAAACCCTCCTCCCCGATAATGCATGTATCAAAATAATCACATTGGGTTGAATGTATTTGAAATAACTACGTGTAGTATATTTAAAATGACTATATGCAAGGAATCATTTGAAATCCAGTTGTGTTTTTCCTTTCCTTATTTTCTAGATCTGGCCATACATGGATTGTAATAGTCTAAACAAACAATTTTACCACATTATCTCATCTAAATTCATAGATTTGGAATCCTTCCATTTAAATGAAGCCTAAATGAATTTCATTCAAGCAGAGAAGTTAAACGTTTTTGGAGGTACTTTTCCTTTACAACATTCCGAGTTTACTTTGTCTTCCATGAGACTATGTATCCTAGTACATGTGTGAACTCAAAAGAAAAACCAGGGTGTTCAATCCAGTAAAGTACTATTCATATATTTTCTTGTGCTTGAGTGCAGTGGTTTTACAGTCACATTCTTTAAGAAAGACAGACAGACAATGCCGGTCACATTATCCTGCAAGAAGTTGTAAATGATGTGAGACCTGATGGAGGTTCCGATGGGGATGCCGTGAGGGAAACCTTAGGCGAGAGGCTTACAAATTCTAGTGCTTGTAGCCTTAACTTCAGAGGGTAGTCCGCAACAGACCCAATCCTGGGGCCTGCTCCTGTTGACCACTTCAAAGATAGTTGGTCTCCTAGTTGACATGAACTTGCTTCCTTCTTGGAGTTGATCCTTTGCAATATTTCTTTCTCGTGGACACTTGTTCGGAGGTTGAAGAGATTTCTGGATATGGTTCTTTGGTAACTACTTATTCTTTTTGTTTCTGAAATTGTACATGATTCAGACTGTTGATTGCTTTCTTTCACCCTGGAAGCATGAAGCTCAGGGTTTTCAGCTTTTGTTTGTCCGTATGTTCTTCCAGGTTGAATTGATTTGCTCAAACCATAGCTCTCATTGTCTTCCATGGGAGAAAGTACCTGCTTAAATGGCTAAAGCTCAGACGAAACAAGCCTAGCTAGAAACACAGATAAATGTCCATACATTATACAGGTTTTCGATTATTAATGGAAGCTAAAAGGTCTCTGTTTGAACCCTTCTTCCTTAAATTCTGAAGAGCTATGTCCCCTGGAATGTTTCAACTGCATCTTTATATTGTAGGCAGAGTAACCTGGAACAGATACAATAAAATTGAATAGGATGAGTTCTATACCTGAACTCCATCAAGGGCAACTCCACTTTCCTTAAGGAAGGTGAGGAAGCTGCCAAGGTTCTCATTGGTTGGACGGTAATGTCCGCTGTATGCTGATACAGACTGGAAATCAAAAGGACATACAGAATTCAGTTGGAAAAGCTGCGGGCTTTTCCTTGATCTAAAATAACACTCAAAGAAAGGAATTCTACAAATATTTTCTTTGTGGTGTGTGTGTGTCTTACAAAGTGGGTGCTGAAATCTTTGCAAATATACATATTCCATATCAGTAAACTATGTCTTCAAGAAGCAGAGACTATTTTACTGAGCATGCAGGTTGATGCATTAATGATTAATATACCTTGAGCTTTCCATGTTCTGCTCTAAGTCTTCCAGCAGCCAAGGTGGCCCCTCCGGCAAGGAAGCTGGAATGATGAAATAATCCCTTCTTCTTCTTGAGGGAAGAAGAAGAAAAGGAAGAGAATCAGTCATCTGCAAATTAAGATAGGAGACTGCAGCCTTAATGGTCTGATGTCCATATCAAATCTTACCTCGCCAGCATAAAGTTTCTTCGATGTGCTCATCACGAAAATCCATTTGGAATCTTCCATTCCTTGATTTGTATCAAGAAGATGTCCTGTTCCTTTGTGCACCAAGGTCCCTTCACAAATGATATATTCGAAGTGTTCCCTCTCTTGCTTATTTGCATGAAAGGTCACCACAAGATGAATGTGAACAAGTTAGCATACATTTTTCATGCAGAGTTCAGAGGGCTCTCTGAAGTCTGGTGTATAGTAATAAATTTCTCAATCAAATGTTCTCATAAAGGGAATTGGAGATGCAAATATCTTAAAAAAACAGGGCAACAATTAAAATTGAAATACAAATGTGATGGTGGCTGGAAATTATTATATCAGTAATGTGATATTTCATTAGATTCTAACACTAGGAGGGGTAGGTGGGATTTGAAGTCGAGACCTCAGGCATAGGAGTAAATGCTCGTAACCATTAGAGCTACGAGCCTCTGCAACAATTGGATTGCATTTTGACCGTGTATTGATCCTATTATATGTATGCAGCACAGAAGTATGGTACCGGTCCAAGATACTTGATGCATTCTTGTTGCAGCCTTGATCTTGGACAATCCTTGAGATCAACTTCCTTGCCATCTCCAACGTCCAACCTACAAAAGGCAGAGGTTCTTCTTTCTAAATCATCTTACCAAGTATATTAGCAAGTCTTTCTTTTAACTAAGTTGATTTTGAAATATCCATACTATTTTCATGGGATGTAAAGCTAACACAGTAATTTAGTAACCCTTATGGGAGCCCTTGAGTAAAAGTTCATGTTTTGATGTACTCTGGAATGCTTGTCTTCCACATATCTCTCCTCAGTGGACAGATGTTCTTATGTCTTACTAAAAAGTAGATATGTAATTACAAAAATAGGGAACTTTTATTTGCACCAAGCCAAAAACTCAAAACACCCGAAAAATAAGAAGGTATCACTTCATCTGCAGAGAAAATAATTACAAGAACGATGATTTTGACTGAAATAATTACAAGGTGTGCAGAGAAAATAGTCACCAAAAAAGAAAGAATGAAGACGGTAAATTGTACCAGTAGAAAAAGGGCTGTCCTGCATCACCTCTACACCACTCATCATAGTAATAGTTCAGGTTATGGCCATACCGATGTCTTGGATCAATCTGCAACAACCAGCCTCATGATGAGGATGAATACAAGGCACAACAAGAAGAGTTAAAGTCTAGATCGATTACGAGCTTACTGCTTCGATCCAATGTTGGAAAGCTAACTTTTGTGCCTTAGCATCCTTTGATAATCCCTTCCCCAGCTACAAAAAAATAATCAAATTCATGAAACCTTTTTTTTTCTCCTTAATTTTATAAAAAGTTTGTGGTATGAAATATAAGCAAACATGCCTTGGATGCAAATAAGCTGATCCTACTCCAGCGTGAAGCTGCGGTTTCAGATTTACGATAATCGAAGAACGAAATCGCACTATGATTCAACCTTGCATAATCTATAGCTTGCCACCTCCAATCCAAACATTAATCCCATAGATAGAGAATTAGAATAATATCAAAATGTTGAAGACTAGACGAAAATTAATTAACGGGGCACCAACCATAGCTCCTCAGCAACCACAGCCGAGTCTGCTAGCCTACGCCGGGTTCTATAACTCCTGTACACTTTCTGCAACTTCACTGCAGCCGTTGATTCATGGCCATGACCTGTATGCTGCTGAGGAACCATCACCGTCGATGCACCATCATAGCAATCCAGAGATAGCTCAGCCATTGTAGAGAAAAATGTAGTAACAGTTTTTAAGTGCAGTGAAAGAGATTGAAGGGATCAAAACAAAGCCAATATGTAAATTTTATGTCTCTCAGCAATATAGTCTCCGATTTTTTTTTCATGGTTCTTTTTTTTTTCCCCCCTTTTAATGGATAGGTGCAGATTTGGTCACAGCATTAATTGGTGGTACTACTGCAGTGACAACAAAAAATACAAGTTGTTCAAAGTGTTGCAGAGAGGTAGACAACAGTGGTCTCCACTCTTCCACCAAGAGTCATGTCAGGGCTCAACTTAGTCCTGGTTAGGATTGGACAGGGCTAATCTAACTAAAATGGAAAAACAGGCATATCCCTGCTGTTAGAAGAAATTCAGTAAATGACTTATAATATTGATCACTATATTAATGCACGAAGCAATAAGTGTAGACAGAAACAAAAATACAAACTTGTATAAATGTATAAGTAGAAATTTAAGTGCAGAACACTAACGTTTATTGAAGATAGAGGCTTGCGGATTCACAATGTCCTAAAATCAAAATTTCGCCTGGCTTAGGAATTGTGGTTTTATAACACAATTGCACCCCTTTAAAATAGTAGTTAGTATCAGTTGTACATGTTCAAATTCACACGAAATGATAAAGACTGCTGGTTTTAATTGAACTTCTGCTATAAGAAACCCAAAAAAATAAGAAACCCAAGGCCCAAGTCTTGATTAATTAAATATTATTAATCAAACCAACCATGTATAGCCTTTACTACCAAGTCCATCAGCCCACCAATCTTATTAATTGGTGTAAAAGTATCGTGCTTATAATGCTCGTAAAACCATTTGTTTCCTCCAATGTAGGATAATTTGCTTTCATGACTGCAAATGGAGGGACTAGAGTTCTTTAATTACAAAAGGGAATTGAAATGACATAACCCAGAAAACAACTTCACAGCATCCAAAATTAAAAACCACATATATACATGAAACTATATTACAATTGTATTAAACAAACTCGTTGCTAGTAGTATTCTACTGGAGTGTCCTTACCTTTCTCGGCTTGCACAAGGTCCCGGTGAGCAACAGGCCGAGGAATGTTGGGTGGTCTGTTACATCTTAATAATGCCCAATTGACCCCATCAAAAAATGGATGGTGCTTGATTGCTGTCGCACCCATTGTGGACCCCAATCTTCTTGTGGGGTCCTTGATCAAAAGATGCGTGATCAAATCTTTAGCGTGTCCGGACACCGTAGGCTCCTTAGGGAACTCAAGGGCCCGGGCCACAATGTTAGCTAGAGTTGAGTCATGGTTCGTTCCTTTAAAGGGTGTGACACCGTAAAACATTTCAAATATAAATATGCCTAGAGTCCACCAATCCACTGCATTGCCATGGCCTTCACCTAATACCATCTCCGGTGCCAAGTACTCGTGGGTCCCGACAAACGACATCGATCGGACGTCGATTGGCTCCGCCACGATCTCGAGGGACACACGGTGACCTGATTTCTTTTTGCGCTTGCCTTTTGGGTGCATGCATGATGCCGTCGGAACCATACAACTAGGCAGGATGCATGGTGATATTCCAAATTGTGGTTGCTTGGTGGAATAAGAGGATCGATCGGTGTTTGGTGAGTCTTGATCAGAAACAAGCTGAGCCGTTGATGTTGAAGTGCTGCTTCTCAATGAGAGATCAAAGTCGGTCAACATGATGTGACCGTCTGATCTTATGAGTACATTTTCTGGCTTCAGATCACGGTATATTATTCCCATCATGTGTAGGTACTCTAGAGCAGCAACCACTTCAGATGCATAAAATCTTCAAGCACCAAAAAAGACTAGATTGTAAATTTGGAAAAAATAATATTATATCAAAAAACTTAATGTAAAATTACAAGGAAGATCCTCGACAGATCTTATAACCATACATATCAAAGTAAATGAGGCCTAATCGATTTGGTGATTCTTTACCAATTATATCACATAATTGAGTAATTCAATATCAATCCTAATTCATGCGTAATTAGGCAATAAACAAAAAAAGTAATCTAATCAAAATTTATCCTAATCGAGGCCTATTATAGAAACTTGCATTGAATCATGATGATCATGATCGAGTGCATGGCACTTACCAAAAGCATTGTGGGGTTGCAACATTCATAGATTGTCCCAGTCTCCAGCTATGGAACCCACACAAAATAATTCTCAAGCAAATATTGGAACCCCACTTATTATGACTCGTTTTATATTGTACCATTTTGCAAATTTAATCAACAATTTTTTATTTTTTATTTTTTATTTTTATGAAAAAGAAAATTCAAACACACATATGTATATATGTCACGCGTATGATCATGTAGTATAATTAAATTGCAAATTTATGTTCAAATTGTACGCACCGGACGGCCGCTCGACTGAAGCGTTTGTCCGGTTGGCATTGGCGGAGGACATGGAGGTCACCGCCAGGGCAAAACTCGGTCAACAAGCAAGACCATCTGTCCGACTCCAACCAGCCATAGAGCGTGGGCAAAAAAGGATGGTCCAAAATTTCTAATATTTCCCTCTCTATCCTTGCCCTATTTCCTTTATTCCTACTTGCCAAATCCTCCTTGTCCATCACCTTGGCAGCAAACATGCACCCATCACTGCCCTCTAACTCTACGAGGTACACGCTCCCTATGTCGCCGCACCCGAGGCGACGCACGAGGCCTAGGTCGTCAAGGCTGATCCCGGTGCCATTGAACTTCTTGCCTTGGATCGCGTCCCAACATGGATCGCGTGGCCGCGCGTGAGGCTTACTGGCGGATGAGATGTGGCTTGAAGTGGTTTTGACAGAAATGGCGGTGTCGGTGTCGGTGGCGGCGGTGGTGGAACACTCGAGATTAAGGTTGCCTATGTCGTTGACAAGTTCGTCGACGCATTGTTGCATGATTGTGGGAATGGTGGTGGTGAGTTAAGGTGGAGACACACTTCAAATGAGAGTGGAAAATAATAGAAATGAGGCATTTTGAAGAGGGGTGGAAAGGGCCGGCGGAATGGGGATGGGCCATGTGTCCGCATATTGTATTATAAGGGCCCACAGTGGGCCCAATTTCTGGATTTCCTTTCTGGCGTTTTGCATTTGCATATTTGGAATTTTGGATTTTATGCCTTGTTATTTTTCTCTGGTTATAACTGTTGCGTACGCAAATACACCTAATAAAAAATTACTAGTTTTTTAAGTATTCATGTAAAATACCAAATCCTAAGAATAAAAGAAAAAGGGTAGTCTAAGAAAAATAAATATGGTCAGACCCAAAAAATTAAAAATTAAAAAATTAAAAATGGAAATTACTGATTTGCTATCGTGCTCATTAAAAAGTGGGCGAAAAAAATTACTGTGACATATAGCATATAAATTTAAGATCCGGTTTTTATTTTGTTCCCTTTTTATTAAGCTTGACACTTTTTTTGGAATCCTGAACCTCTGCATTTAGAATTTTAGGGTTTGGGATTTGTTTAGGGATGGCACCTTTTTTGTTTGATTAGCTAGAAGATCATATGGTTGTAATCTTTTATTACAATCCCGTCTAAATTAATAGGAAAAATGTTGGTATTTATCAATTATGCTTAGATACCACTGGAATATACTCCCTCAAAAAGAGAGTAGGATAATAATAAAATAATACCAAGTTAATGTAGATTTCTTTTCATATAACCGGACCAACTGGTGATTACATACAACAATTACAAAATATTTAGAGAAAGATTATCAGCCGCAAGATCTTGGATAGCATGATGGATTAGTCCCGGAAGAAAAAAAAAGAAAAAAAAAAGATGAATATGCAATTAGTAATTTGGTAGTAGCTTCTCATTTATCATTTCATAAACCCTTTTGAGGCAAAGAGGAAAGGAAAACAGTTTCTCAAATGCCACTTTGTCAACAAGAGAGAAGATGCTCGAGAATTCCTTAAAATTTTAAAGACATGATTACTTACCTGAAATTGGTATTGATTCATGATTTTACTTGATTTACTAACACGCAAGAATCAAAAAGTACATGGGTTTAACATTAAAATTCGTAGTCTAATGTGTAGCGACCTGACCCACATTTTTCGTTTAAATTTCAAAATTTTAGCATACTTGGATGAATTCGCCCCTAGGATTTTGACTTTGGATATTGAGGCTCTTTTGTTTCAAGACTTATTTTGGAATTTTCTTTACACCGTGAAGGAGCTTAATTCCATCAGAGTGTAGGAGCAAACGATAGGCAAATCGGACTTGTAACGAAAAGTTATGAGTGTTTATTTATCAAGGGCATTTTTGGAAAGTGAAATTAGAAACCCTAACAAACGAAACGAAAACGAAATTGGAAAACGAAAAAAGTTACTAGTGTTTGTTTCCCAGCACCACTTTGTCGTCGAATGTCTGTTCCAAGCAATGACATCAAAGTAAGTTGCTCTGATACCATCAGAGGTGTATTTGTCATCAAAGTAAGTTGTGGTAATTGCATCTCATATTGCTTTTGCCCTTGGAAAGCGAATAAAATTGCAAATCAATCTTGGCTCCATATAGTTGATCACACATCCTTTCACAATTGAATTCTATGTTCACCATTTGTTGAACGTCAGGTCCGTATGGGGTGTTGTGGTAGTTCTCCATTGACATATCCCAATTTGTCTTTGCGTGAGATATGCATCTCAACAATTTGGGACCATAGGGCATAGTTGATGCATACATATCAGACTGTGATTTGTCAGCAAGGAGGCTTAGCTACTTATGTAAAGAGCCAGCAAGGAGGCTTAGCTACTTATGTAAAGAGCCAGTAGTTTCCCTCAATGAGGCCTGAATTTTTATGTCATTTCTTTCTAAAGGTCATAAGCTGGACCCTTTTCCTTCCCTCTTGCTAGTGTATATAGAGTGTGTTCAGACTTTAGAGACGGGTAGTCTTGGAATGGCCTTTTAGGCCTGTAAATGTTTCCTTTGGGATGTAAGAATGAAGTCAGCTTCACTGCTAGGATTCACAATTTAGTTCTCAATTCAAATGCTGAAACCGTTCTAGAACTTTTCTCTGAGATGAGGACGACAGCTGAGTAGGTCTCAAACCAAGTCAAGCTGGAAGAGCTTGCCCTTCATTGGCGTATCATTAAAAGCCTTGGTGATTGGGATTCTAAATTGTGCATAGTAAATGATCTAATTGAGATGGTTTGCTAAATGTGTTTTGGACGGAATATAATAAATTATTGTAGCTACTGTTTACATCAACCAATACAAAACAAATACAAAGGCAACCAGGATATAATCAAACAACTGCAAGCCTGCATTGGCAACCCCTGCACTTGAAGAAAGAGAAAGCAAGCAGGAAAACCCTAAAAGTGATTCCAGTTTTTCTCTCACCCTTTGAATTGCCACTCCCTGCGGCACATGGGGCAATGTGCCTGAGAAGTCTGTGAATTTACCCATTTTAAGATGCAATGAAGATGGAACGCATGGTTGCATGCACCCCAAATTAGTGGGCAATCATCCCCAGGGAGTTTACAATCAGGACAACAACCATCAAATGCCATCCTGCAAATCCCACATGTTTCATCTTGTGCATCCCATGTCCATGAAGCAACAGCATGCCACTGCAAGATGTTGACTTTCATCGTCTTCTCCTGAAACTGACACAAACTCCTCGTTCTAAACTCAATGGTGATCTTAAGAGCAACCAGTATGGTTATCACTGCAACGGTCTGATTCTGGTTCTGGTTCCCCTTCTTCTTCTTTGTCTCTGTATCTGCAAGCCCTGTGCTAAATGTGTTTTGGTTAATGATCCAAAGATGGTTTTCAAACAAATGCCAGTGATATCTGCATCTGTGTGAAATGGAAACTACATGTTCTTATGTATGTGGCTATGCATAGGTGCACCCATAGTACTGTATATGCGTCTGTATGTACCTTAGAATGAATATACTAAAAGCAACAGAAAAAAGAAACCTTGAAGCAGGAAGAGAGGTGAGTGTGGTGGAATGTGGAAAGAAGAAATAGAGGTGAGGTTGGTGGGTGTGGTGATGGGAAGTGTAGCAGAATGAGAGGGGTGATGGGTGGGTGAAATGGTGGTGAGAGATGAAGGAGCGAGCAAGGGAGTATGTATGTTTCATTATACTAAGTGAAACCAGTCTAGTACTCTCGTCTCTAGTTAGGACTTTTGACTTCACAAGAGCATAAAAACAATAGTGACACAAATATGGACAAACAATATAGTGACAGCACAGGTCCAAATATAACGAAGAAACACGGACAAACTGCAGTTTATATGTCAATCAGTTTGCATTGCAAAAATAAGGTCAAACAACTTGTGCATACTTCACTTTTCTTTACTTCAGAGACAACTGGAACAAGGTGTGGGTGCATGGTGTAACTGAGATAGCCAGGAGCTGCATAGTGTTAGCTGGATGAATGAGTTTCTTTAACTGTGGGTACAAGGTCTGACTGGATAGCCAGGAGCTACATAATGTTAACTCAGCTGGATCAATTAGTTTCTTCTTATAAGATTGCAAGTAAATACTGAGAATAACAGAATCTATGACTTTTAAGATCTATATCCCTTGAACTTTGAAAGTAGATGCACATACTGCCCCTTCTCCACCATATGTGTTATTACTTCAAGAGCTTTGGCAAGCTTTCCAGCATTTCGCAAATAACTTACTAGGGTGCTGTATACGGTGAAATTTGGATTACAGCCTCTGGATTCCATATCCTTAAGCATGAAGCATGCTTCCTCTAAATTTCCTGCCATACAAACCCCACGGATCATAGCATTGTATGTAAATACATTCAGAAGCTGCCCGTTAGTGATCATCTCATCAAACACTCCTTGAGGCTTCTCAAGCTCCCCAGCCTATACCCCGTGATCATTACAGTGTAACAAACAACATCCGGCAAGCACTCATGCTTTATCATCTCATCAAAAAAATACTTGCAGGCATCCAGATTTTCAGCCCTGCTCAGTCCATCTATCAATATTGTGAAGTGAAGAACACTTGGATCGAAACCCACTTCCTTCATGTTGTTCAAAAGATTAAGAGCTGCAAGTGGTTTGTCTCCCTCACCAAGGACATGAAGAAGAATGTTTTAAGCATGAAAATCTGGACTGAATCCACTTCTACCCATTTCCTCGAGGAGTCTGAAATTGATCCAATTTCCCCAATCTATACTTTGCATGCATCATAACATTATAAGTTAGAATATCTACACAGTGACCATCTATCAACATCTGTTGATAGACCCACTCAATCAACTTGTGCTGCTTCACCAAAAGAAGGGAGTGCAAAATTGCATTGTATGAGTGTTTAAATGGCCTATAGTTAAACGTCTTTGATTTGATGAATCTTTCCGCAATTTTTTAGCCGGGCCTGCCTCACCACAAGTGCGTATCAAAATGTTGAATGTTTATGCTGTAGTTGAATAGTCTTTCTCAATCATCTCATCAACCAGCCTCCGCATTGCTTTAAACTCCACACAATCTGCAAATATCCTCACCATTAAATGATATGTGTTTGTTGTGTGTCTCTAATTTTCAAGCTGACCAGACCACATAAAAAACTTATACCCCAACTTTACACACCGGATTTTACTCACATAATTTGTTTGTTTCAAAATTTTGAAGAGAACTTCTCTCACAAGAAGACCTGAAACCTCTATATGCAACTCATCCAAAGCCGCTTTCGTATCACACCCAGGGCCATCTTGTTGAAGAACTTCAAGAACCCTTGTCATATGAATCTTTGCATTCTTGAACTCCGTCTCAACGAGAAATACTCCCGGGGATGGTTCTCATACTCATAAACATTCTCTTTCTCATCTAACATCGAGTCTAAATCCAAACTTCTCCATATTCTCTTCAAGGGTTCCTCTATAAACTCATTCCCACTACCCACTTTATTCCCACCAAAGCATCCATCAGTTAATTTTCGTGCTACGACAACATAACATGAAATTTTTTGAATAGCAAACAGGGATATACAGTTCATGGCTGGTACTTATTATCTGTGCAACTTCGCAGTACTTAATAAATCCAAGAAGGACACCAATTAAACGAGAAGTAAAAGCACACAGGACATTAAAAGCTCTGTATTCTAAAATTTAGGGATGCCCATTAAAATGGAGGGAGCAAATTACAAAACAAGTAGTGTATCGAGCAGAAGCAGTTTATTGAGTTGGGTATCTCCAAAGTGTGAAAGAAGATGAGGGAGGACTTCGAGTTACCTGGAATTAAGCAATCTAATGAAGGCTTATTAGTCTCTTGCAGCTTGGCTCCAAAGTCCTGCCAGGTGTACTTACTGCATATAAAATTATCAAACGAATTTTAGAAACTAATATCCAACATTAATCATTTTGGACCAAAATGAATACAGAAAAACATAGTAATGCCAACTAGTTGTGACTAAATCCATAACAATAAAATAAAACTTTAAAATTTTAAAAACAAAACAAAAATTTTGGTGAATGAAACTTTAAGGCCTGGCGGTCTAACAAACTCTATGGCCTGCCAAGAAGCCTAACTGAATTTGAAAACAGCAACTTGGGTTCCAATTACATAGGGTTTGATTTGTGGATGGCATTGTAGCCAAATAGAAAAGGAAATTTCATTTGTAATCTTATCAGGACTTTGAATAACACAACAAATCATTCCACAGATGGTTGCATAATCATAACTAGGAGAAGGACTCTCAGATGAGTAAGGCAAACATCATATCTGACCATAAGACCACCAACAGCAATGAGCTGGGCACTCAAACAGGAACAGTTATCTGCCACACCTATTTCTTCATGGTCCTCTGTTTAAATGATATTGAGAAAGAAAAAAAAAATGGAAAATTATCAAAACACGCTACGACAGTCATCCAAATGTACTCAGCATTTAATCAAACACTTGATGGGCAGTCATAAGAGTGTATCGTTGCTTCAAATTTCAATTTCCTTACTGCCATCTCCACACTGACAGAGGAAGATAGAATTTAAATTCAAAACAATGCACAATCAAACAGCAAACCTACCCAGAGCAAAAATGAAAATGAGCTACAAATTAACCAAAAATAAATACAGAAAAAGGGAGCTACAGCTTAGAGCAGAGAGACATTCATATCAAGAAAAAACCAAAAAAAAAATAACTGTAACAGATTAAGGAAAAAAAAACTCACTAGATGAAACCCACTCTCCACTTTATGAACGAGAAATCGAAACAAATGAGAAGAAAAAAAAAAAACCATTAATCCCAAATGTCCTTCTTATAAATGAGAAAAGAGATCTAAGAACAAAACCCAGTAAGAAAAATAAATTTTTAAGAACTAATAATACCTGATGTGCCTACAAATGGAGCTGAGGAAGCTTTTTTATTTTCTTATGATTTTAGGAGGAAGAAGGGCATTGTGTCTGTCAAAGGTGGAGTTCTTTCTTCGACAAAAAAAAAAGGTGGAGTTCTTTCTTCTTTCTTTTTTTGGGTCCGAAGAAAGAGTTATTTCTTCACAAATTTATAAATAAACTCAATCCTAGACATGTATTTATAAAAAAAATTCAAACACTATTTAAACATAGAAACATACTCAAAATCAACTCCAAAGTCAACAATTGTATATTTTTTTGGTGTGTTTATAAATGAGTTTTGACTGTGTGTAATGATGAGTTTTGGGTGTGTTTATAAAGTGTTTTGAATGTTGGGTTTTTTTATAATTTCAACTCCTATTTTGAGTGCTTTAGTGAAACTCTCTTATTTCTTCTATCTATAAAATAAAAAGAAGATTGTCTGCTATTAAAAATACTTGGTTAATTAACCTAAAAGGAGGAATTTCTCTTTACGAAACCAAAAAAAAATTTCTATTTGCGTTTTTAATGTGTTATATCTCTGTCTGTTCAGTGATTTTTTTTTTTTTTTTTTTTTTTTGGTCTGAAATATGAAATTTCATAACAGCAGGCAAATAGCCAAGAGAAGTACACAGCCTATAAAACAGCTAGGCGGCACATCGAACAAACAGGAAAAAACAGCGCAGCTACATGGAAGGAGGACCAGACACAAGACGTAGTCATAACTCATAAGACGAATGGATACGTCAAGAAGCCCATACAACCGCCACCATTAAGCACTCCTTGGGGGGCATGGTAAACCATCCTTGTTTAGGATATGTATTAGAGAGGATGGGGGTCTGTTGACCCAAACTTCCGGGCTCATCCTCGACTTGGCAAGCATTGCCAAATGATCTGACTCTTGGTTGGCGGATCTAGGAATCCACATCCAAACATAGGTCTAGAAGCAGTTCAAAACATCTCGAACATTACTTAGGATAGGATAGATTTCCCACCTTCCATTGGATAAGGGGCCCTTCAGAGGAGAGATTATGTCCTTACAATCAGATTCAAAAGTTACATGACGATAACCCATCTCAGCAGCGAGCTTACAACCTTCAAGACAAGCCTGTGCCTCAGCCTCAATAGCAGAATTCGCCACTGATGTTCTAGTTTAATCTGCTATATTTACACTACAACAAAATATATTTAAACTTCGTTATAAGGGGCTTGTAGCTCAAGTAGTACACCACAACAAAGAAAAATTAAAAAGCGCCCATATACTCAACATTGAACTTTGTTGCAAGCGGCTTGTAGCTCAAATAGTGTAGTTAAAGAGCAATTACCACTGTATCTAAGGTCATGTGTTCGAATTCTCGCTTCCTCAAAATTCTTTGTATCAAAAAAGAAAAACCTTTGTTGCTTAAACAGCAATTGCAAGATTTTGTGCTTTGTGAAAGATGTAGCACCAATATGAAAGTGTCAGCAGACAGTCTTTTGGTTGTCACATAGCAAGATCAAATTCTGCTCTTATCAAGTTTAGAGCGATTCATATTTTCTTCCTTCGGGCTTCCAATCGGATGGGATTAAGGGATGAAAGAAAAATATAGCACTGATCCAGAGCATCACACTAAGAAGTTGATTCAACAGTTCATTTTTTTGCAAAGCTTTTATCCAAAGAAGGAAAAACATGAGAAAAGCTTTTATCCAGGGTATAACCCTCAATTGCATCTAATGAAACCAACAGTAAAATAGTGGCAATTTACAACAATAAATAAACTGACAAATGAAACATCATTCGATTTTGTAACTCTGAGATATATATATCTACAAATAACTGTCTCTAGAGTTCATAACTTCATACAATAACAGGATGCTTCAAATGGGTCACTGTAAATTTAAAGTCAAAGTACATAATCTTTACAACAGAATTTAGTGTTGCATGAATAAGCTTATGAAATATATCAGCTTATCCAAACGGAACAAGCAAAGTGCTATCTGACACTAAGCCAATTCCCAAATAATCACCAAAATAATTTAATAAAATCAGAATAATACTTGGCCGTACGTAGACAATCGAAACTAGCAGTCTGGAGCTGAATCATAACGGAACCAGACTCATACAATGTAGGTCTGCTTCAAATCCTTTCGACCACGCTTTCTTCTTGGGTTAGCACTAATCATGCAGGAGAAGGCGTTGACCAGTTCAGAATCCTCTTCAGTTGTCAAAATCTTGGCTTTACTAGGATCAGCAAGCAGGAGTTTTGCCACAAGGTATCCTGCAATTGACCAGGTCTGGAACAGGCGTGCCTGTTTTCCAATGAACCTACCCCTTTTGGTGTCATAGTATTCTGGCCACTTATCTCGCGATATCCGTTTTTCAGCAACCTCAACAGCTTTTGCTGCAATTTCGGGTCTATTCATCTTTATGGAAGCAACAGTGAGCTGTGAAATACATCTATAATGTGTCATTATTTCGGACTACCAATACTCTAATAATATCAAGATGCCGTATGCATTTGATAAACAATTGAAAGGATATAGCAGAAATTCCGCACAGAGTTCCAAACAGCCTCACACACTATATACATTACACAAACTATTTACCAATACAGTTCTATCCACAAATGGGTATTTCAAAATCAAAAGTTGATATATTGCCTCTTGGGTCCATCTATCAGTTAGAAGTATCTAACAACACAACATTAACTAACCTGCCATAGCAGAGTCGGCCAGGAACCTCCATTATGGTAGGACCAGGGCCTGCATAAAAAATATGAAGTGTGAGATGGAAAAACCAAAAAATAACAACCAAAAATAAATAAATTATTACTAAGTTCGACTTATTACGTGTTCTTAGGATCACTTCCAGTGATAATCTGCCACTCCTGGCCTTCAAGAGCAGGATAACAAATCTTAAATGGCATGTCTGCCACCAAATCTCCCCATTTGGATTCAATTAGATCCAAAATAGCATGTGACTGATCTGTTGTCGCAATACTGCTTATTACAGACCACAAGTTTCCCAAAGAAAAAAATCGGAAATCCATATGAGCTGGTTGCAAATTTCCAATTAGATAGCCTCCTTTATTGGGCATCCATTCCACGAGCCATGAAGAAATTTGATCTGGGTAAATGTTGAACTTATTAACTGCATCATATGAGTACTCTTCAGTCTTGTATCGGTAGATTTCATTCAGTTTTTTCAAATCAACCCAATAATACTCTCTGATATGAAATGACAGAGCTACCAGACGGTTGTTGAGTGCTCGAATAAGATCGACTGATCCATCCTCTGGAGCAAGCATCTCTCGTGCACAAAGTAATGCTGAATAGAAAAGGGACTGCACAGACGAAAAATGCAAATCACGAGATACAAAAGATTAAACTTTTTCATTCCATCTTGATTGTGTTTTTGGATCCTGGCCCATCATTCCCCTTTACTACAATCTCATACTTTGTTTTCTGGACCCGATAGATTATCTCTTCCCATCATTAATTAGTCATTTTCAACTTGGATAAATATGCTTGTTTCTTAAAACATTACTCTAAATTACAAGTTAAAACAAACTGGCACAGAAAAATGGTTCCTGGAAGAGGTCAACAAGACTGATGGACTACTTCTGTCCCCTTCATATTGATATTTCCTTGCCACATAAAATAACTGTTCAAGAATATGATACCTGGATTTCCAGTGGGTGACC